ACCACTTGAGCCACAGCGCCACTTCCGGCTTTTTTTTTCTTTTTGCTTATGTGGTGCTGAGGAATCGAACCCAGGGCCTCATGCATGCAAGGCAAACACTTTACCACTGAGCTACCTTCCCAGCCCAGACTATCTTTTTCAATGATAAGTTTTGTCCATACAAGTTTTTACCTACCCAGAGCCATAATGAATGAATTTGAGGACTCACTCTAAACCAGCTTTGATGGAAGAGCTCTAGACTGAGAGGGGGTCCGGCTTGAGGAGACTCTATGCAATGTGGGACATAGACCACGAGGGGATGCTGTCACCTTGTCATGCTGAATGAGCCTTTGAGGTGGCTCAGGAGAGGAGGCCACAGGGGGCCTCTCAGCTCCCCATTTGGTTAAGGAAAATGGTTTAGGTTTGAGCTCACCGAATGTGGCCCACACAGACAGACAGACCTCTCACAGTCTAGGTGAGTGGCTCTAACAGGGAATTCCTGGGCTTCTGCTTGCTTAGTGGGAAATGGAGCTGGGGGTGGGGGTGGGTAGAGGTCAGATCAGGAAATCGGGGAGGGGACAGGCCGAGGTGGAGCATCTCACTGATCAGGGGGGAGGGGCGCGCTCTGGGCTCCACCCTGCTGTGCTCTAGGGCAGAGGAATGAAGGATGCCAGGATGGAGGGTACAGCAGGAGGCCACACAGGGCAGGGAGAGTATGACAGAGCAAGCCTGGTGCTCTGAGCTGGAGGAGGCCGGAGCCTGAGACCCTGAGCGAGTGTGCGCTCCCAGGAGACCCACCCCTGAATGATCCAGAACATACCTTGGGCTTCTGAAGGTGCCATGGGCTCCAGGCTGCCCTGCCTGCTAGTCTTTTGTCTCCTAGGAGCAGGTGAGTCCTGGGCCCCTGGCCCCAGGGAGGTTTCCCTCCCTGAAACACAAGTCAGAGGGTAGGAGTGTGCCTTGGGAGGCCTCCTCCTGCGGTCTGACCTAGGCCTCTGTCTCCTCACTCACAGGACCAGCCGACTCTGGAGTGATACAAGACCCCCAGCACCTGATCCAAGTCCAAGGCCAGCGGGCCACGCTGAAATGCACCCCCATCTCCGGGCACCTCTATGTGTCCTGGTACCAGCAGACCCCTGGCCAGGGCCTGAGATTCCTGCTGTCGTATTACAACAAGGAACTGAGACAGAAGGGGGACGACCTGAGTGCTCGCTTCTCGGCACAGCAGTTCTCCAACTCCAGCTTGTGGCTCAGCATCAGCAGCTTGGAGCCTGGGGACTCGGCCCGGTTTCTCTGCGCCAGCAGTGAGCACAGCTGCGCAGGGCCGCCAGCCTGCGGTACCCAAACGTCCTGTCCCCGAGCGCGAGGGGACGCAGGTGCCCCGTGCCAGCCAGAGCTGCCTGCGGCGCCCTGGCGGGCCACGGGGGCCTTCCCCAGACTCTTGCTGCTGCTTACAGCTGCGATCGGCTCAATGCTCACAGAATTCTCACAGGGGAGCAGAATCAGCAACTCATCCCCACACCTGCTGGCTCCAGTGAACTCGTTTACTAGAAGTAAATTACCCAGGAGTTAACTGTTTAGACGACTGGCACTTGGACCGTCTAACAACATTAGGAGCGTTAGAAAGCAGTGATGGCCATGAATACCTCCTCCTGATTCCCATTCCAGTGCTAGCTCATCGAGACCATGGTTAGCTGTTTTCCCATCAATTAAAATGAGATTAACAATATCCATCTGTATAAGTCAGAGTTCTTTAGAGAAACAGAACATATAGAATCTATCTGTCCGATTATCTATCTCCATTATCAATCAATCTCTATAACTCTTCCTATATCTATCCATCTATCATCTATTATTTTTCACCTGTTAATCTGTGTATCTTTTTCTCCCTATATTTTTCTGTCATTTATCAATCTATTATCTAATCTATATAATTATGTATCTATCCTCTATCCTCTAGAAATCTTCTACCAATATATAAATCATCTATCATTTATCAATCTATCCATTATCTAATTATATATTTATCTGTATATCTACTATCTCTCTAGCATTGATAAATAAGTCTAGTATCTTTCTCCCTATATTCATCTATTTTCTTCCTGCTCTCTATCAATCATCTGTCTATCTCTGTCATTTATGGAATCTCTGTATCTCTATCTTATACCAATTTCTGTATCTATTTCTCGTTACATCCATGTATGTATGTATGTATGTATCTTCATCATCATCATTATCATTCACTGACTGATCTTCCTTCTGAAGGATACAGTCAGTACTCCCACAGGAAGGAGCAGTGGGTATTTTTACGAGCACCCAGGGAACACCAAAGCCTATCTACCGTGGGAGAAATGAGGAAAAAGATCCTTGGAACTGCAAGCTTGCATTTGGATTGACACACAGGGCAGTGAGGTTAATTATAACCCAGTTCTTAGTGCCCTGGCAGCTCCGTTCTTTTGAAGAACTTGTCAGCACCAGACTGACCTTAGTTCCTGCCACACTTTGGCCTGTTCCAAAACTATCTCTTCTTTCCCTGCTGTTCACTGAAGTGTACTGTTCAAGGATTATTCATGTAGTGTTGAATTCCATGATTATCTTAGGTATACCCAGCCTTGTGTTCCCCAGCGCTGCTCTTTCTATGATGGCTTATTGTTGTAGGATACCATTTAGTTTTCTTATAGGCATGTTTTCAGTATTTTGCCCACATATTTAACCCACTTATAATGTTATCTCTCAGTCTTTCATTGACTTATAATTTTGGAGTAACATTGTTGGTTTCTATTTTGTTCTTGTTTCCTCTTAGTGACAGAGAATAAAGTACCCTCTTACCCCCAATTCTAGTGCTTTTCTTCCTAACAGTTTACACTAAAAACGTATGTCTTCTCATTCCTCTGCTGTTTAAAGGAAAACAGACGGAGAGTATAGCTGGTGTGTGGCAGAAGCAGAATGCGGGTTTGGTGAAGCCCAGACACCTAAGGAACAGTCAGAGACCGAATTCGTGTTGGGGTTAGGGTTTCAGGAGATTGGTCTTAGAACTTTCCCCACAGTTCTGGAAATTTCTTCCCCATGACTATGCAGACAGTTCCCAGCATTCCTTGTACCACTGTTGAGGAAACAAGACTAAAACATCACCTGTTGGCCACAAGATGGCAGTGTGATGCCACTGTCCTCCAAAAATCTCTAGGGAGAGTTTGAAGCATGCGGCTATGAGCAAAAGGGTTAAAGAAAACAAGGGCTTGAATCCAAGGCTTGGCACCCGGGAGGAGGTTTTCAGTTATTGCTGTACTCCCCTGGAGCTCTGTGGGAGGGGGGGTTGGGGGGGATGCGGGGGTGCGGGGTCCCTCTGAACTTTGGAAGGTACCAGTTGTTGAACTTTTTTTAGGGCGGCTTTGATGTGGGGTAGGTGCAGAAAGAGGACCAACTGCCACAGATAAAGTGGGAAACCACTGGATTGGGGGGTCTCCGTGGCATGTTACAGTGCTCCCCACCCTCCCTCCCTGCGGCCTAAGCAATCACAGCCTAAGAGGAGGGGCTGGTCCTGCCTGAGACAAGAGGCGGGGAGGAGCTGTGGGCATGGAGGAGGACAGTTGCACCAGTTAGAGAGAGGAGAGGAGCTGCTAGCTCTCAGTCCTAAGCTCCAGCATTCTCTTGGCTTGGTTCCCTCTTCTTGTGACTTATCATGATACACAAACTCTTCTGTATTCTCCATTTTTCCCTTGGAGTAGGTGAGTCCTGGGTTTTTTGGAAATCTATGTCATGAGTTTTATACGGTTCCAACCTCAAACCCTCCATCGACAGGGAGTTGCTGATTCCTAAAGGATTGATTGCACCCTATGCCTCCCTGCCCAACAGGACTCACGGGTGCTGGGATCACTCAAACTCCGAGATCCCGAATTACACACACAGGAAAGAAGCTGGTCCTAGACTGCTCGCAGGATATGAACCATTTCTCAATGTTCTGGTATCGGCAAGATGCAGGACAAGGGCTGAGGCTGATCTATTACTCAACTGGCGTAGGCAGCATTGCCAAAGGAGACATTACGGAAGGATACGATGTCGCCCGACCACAGCAGGAGAGCTTCAGGCTGACACTGGCATCAGCCAGCCCCAGCCAGACCTCCTTGTACTTCTGCAGCAGCAGCAGTCACAGTACTGCGCCCGCAGCTGCTCTCTGCACAAAAAGGGCCAGCACACACCTTGGCCTTCCTGAGCCCAAGCTGCTCTTCCCAGATGTGAACTGGAGGGGCCTTGTGATGCAGGAGAGACAGAGAGAGAGACAGGATCTTCCTCCTTTTTCCATAGAGAACAATTCTGTTTTCTGAACTGCTTTAACTTCCCCGAGGAAGCTGGGATTCTCCATATTTCATACCATTTCCTAATCTATTATATCAAGTCATTTGCCTGATATTCCTTCCCCTCCCCCACCCTGCACCCCTCCAATATCTATTTACCAAACTGGCCAATCTACTGAAACTTGATGTAATAGCTGAATGATAAAATGGATGATGACTGGGCTGGGAATGTGGCTCAGTAGTAGTGGTTGCCTAGCATGCATGAAGGCCTGGGTTCGATTCCTCAGTACCACATAAACAAAAAAAGCCAGAAGTAGTGCTGTGGCTCAAGTGGTAGAGTGCCAGACTTGAGCAAAAGAAGCTCAGGAGCAGTGCCCAGGCCCTGAGTTCAAGCCCAGGACTGGCAAAAAAAAAAAAAAGATGATGACCGACTTTCCCAAATCACGATACTTACTGCAGCTTGTGCCGACTTTCACCAGCCCTGAGATTTCTTCAAAGTGTTCATTTACCTAATGCTTTCATCCTGCAACTGGTCCTTCTCTTTTTTTTATATCAACCTGGCTTATTGTTTTGCTGAATTTAGGGCTTTTATGTTTCTCTTACCGATAACTTCCCACATTCTCAAAATTTTGTGTATTTACTTTTGTTTGTGCCTTTGGTTATTTTTTTGATAATAAAACTTAAATTGGTCTGTAGCAAATACATTTGTATGGGACTCCCATTTTATGTAATTTATTTATTTACCTTGATGTAATATTTATTAAACTGTAGCTATGGAGAGGAATGTGCCCATATGAATAAATAACATTTGATTAATTTTAAAGACTCTATACATTACTGCAACTATAATTAAGTCACAATGAAGAACATTTCCATCACTCAAGAAAACATCTTCTTGCCTCTTTCTAGCCTGTTTCTCTTGAGAGCTGTGTTGGATGTACATCTGATTTCTATCACCATTGATTAGTTTTGTCTATTCTTGAACTTCACAGAAACTTAGCTTTAAACTACTATTTTATTAACTTCTATTCCTCAAAAATTAACATTTAAGAATACATTCAGTTGAATGAATCAGAAATTCATTTGCTATTGTTGAGTTGTGTTTCATTGTGTTTCTATTTTTTTTGCTGTTACCTGAGCTCTCTTTTAGTCAGCCTCTCTTCTCTTAAATTGTGTTTTTATTATATTTAAGTAGTACAAAGGAGTTGCAATTCAACAATCAGTTTATAAGTACAATGCATCTTGATTGACGTTCCATTGTATTTCTGTGCCATAGTCTGTTGTCCGTTCCCTTTGGAACACAATTCAACCTAATTACCTTTCAACAAATCAGTTTCTATCTGCAGTGCATTTTTATCACGTCCCATTGTGCTTCTGTGTTCCTCTGTGTGCTGTAATTTGTTACCTGTTACTACAGGCTTCCACCACTATGAGTGGAACTCCTTGGAACATTCTTGTAACTTCTTTGTGTTTTCATTTCTCGCAGGTACAGACATAAGTCTGGGATTGCTGCTTGGCATTTTATATGCACCTCTACACTAATTAGAAACACTTGAACAGTTTTCCAAAGTCCTACTCCTTTTACAATATGAAAGGACATGAGTTCTCTGACTCCCCATTCTCAGCAGAATTCATTTTCCTCAGTCTTCTTATTGTTATCCATTGTTTAGATCCTTTGGTGATTTTTCCTTTACATTTGCATCTTCAGTAATGATAGTTTTTGATGTGTTCATTGGTTATTCTCATCTCTTTTTGCTCTTAAATCTTCCCATTAAACATGATAACATGTTTGTTCTTGTTTCATAGGACATTTTGTTTTACTATAATAAGGGTCTTTGGTCATTAAAATCACTGAGATCCGTCTGAGGTGTAGCCTATGCCTGCAATCTTGAGTCTGTGGGAGGCAGAGATGTGAAGATCGTTGTAGAAAGATGGTTAGGGAGACACTACCCTAACGAAGAAATCTACTTGTGGTTGCCCATGTCTATAACCCCAGCTACACAAGAGATGGAGAACGATGGGCCATGACACAAGGCCAGCCTTGAGTAAAAACAACAGATCCTATCTGAAAAAGGGCTGAGCGGTGGGTCAGGTTGTAGAGCACTTGCCAAGCATATGGAAGATCTGAGTTTGAAACCTCAGGAGAAGAAAAAAGGGGTAGTGAGTCTGTCTTCTCAGAGAGTAGCCCACATTTTCATTGTTTTCATAAGTCTTTTGATAAATACGCTTACATATTTGTGAAGCCCAGCTTATAATAGTTTTCCTGTTTATGGTTAGTGCCCTTTGCATCCTAAGACATTTTTACCTTTACCAAGTTATTACTTACTTTCATACTCATTCTGTGTCAGTTTTTGATATCCCAAGAAAAGGCTCCACTACTAAAATCCCAACCTTCTTATCCTACCACACCTCATAGTTGCTGTAACTAGGATTGCCTTCCCCTCAGAAACTTTCCTTTCCTTTTATACTTTGCAGCCAGGGAGGGATGCAGCCACTGGGTGTGGAGGAAATACTCCCTGCCCTAGACTTCCTAGGCTGGGAGTAGGTGAGAATGTTTCATGATTTCTCTCTGCATCTCCTGTGAAATGTGTGTCTCTAAGTCACACTGTTTATTCTCACATTTAGCATTTCTCACCGTTTCTGCTAACTTTCTTAGCAATGCTAATTGCAGACTGGTAAAGACCTTTTGTTACTGCTAATTGCAGGATATTAGAAACCTTGTTAGATCTCATTGCAAATTCTTAAAACTTTTTCCCCCCACAAAATAATTTTCCCTTGCTGTGTCTTTTAGTTGAATCCTTGATGGAGCTGAGAGAATAGAGGGGATGAAGAATGATTTACTAAGATATGACAGAACTAAAGGAAACTGACAATACTCATTCTGGTCTTAACTAAGAGACAGAGGATTTGAAGCCCTGAACAGTTGGGCAATGATGTATTAGTAAAAGACTATCTACAATGTGCTGTATCATTTAGTAGAAAAAAAGTAGTCAGAAAATGCATAGCAGCAAGGAAAAAAATCCAGCCAAACTGTTGGTTTCCCACCACGTTTTATTCTCTTGACATTGTTTTCCCTGAGGATGATATTTTAAAAATGTTTAGTTATTATAATACTCTGGATTCCATTTCTAATGACAGGAATTCTCTGAAGGAATAAACACCATGTTGTAGAATGCTACACATGAAGACAGATGACTCTGAGGGTATAAAAGCCTGCACTAGCCAGCTCTATGCTATGAACTGATAAATGTGCAGAATTGGTTTGGGAGTGGGGATAGTTAGTCTTCATAACTTATAGACAGCCAGCAGCCCTTTACGTATGGTCCAAGGGACTAGTCCCTGGTAGCTCTCTGCCACTAGTCATTTATGGAAGTGCATGTGATAGAACTCTACAGAGAAAAGCTTGGCTGTGATCCAGCATGATAGAAACCATTGGAAGTACTTGTATGGAACTGGAAGAGAACGATTTCATCGTGAGCTCCTTGTCCTCAGCCAGTGTACAGGTGTCTACTTCCAGCAGGGAACCAC